AGCTTTTGCTCAAATAATGTATTTGTGTTAAAAAAAATCATTAAATACGTACATATATTAAATTTAGAATCCAGTTATTAGCACTTGAAATCGTCGTTGTAAAATACAGAAAGTCTGTCTCCGCCTCGACATACACTACTACCAAATACCATACATGTAGGGTAAAACTCTATTCAACAGGTGATTCCTTGATTAAAAGAACTTGTTGATGGTAATTGTTTTAAAATTTGATTTTGTTTCTGTTTACCCTAAATATCGGATAACAATTAAACTTATAATGTGGTTTTAAGGATACGTGATTTCACCTAATACCAATTGATAAACATAAAGATTAACAATATAGATTAACAATGAGATAAAGCAAACCAGTCCTGAAACGTGATTCAACCCTCGAGCTTGAGTGCCCTCGAACTGATCGGTGCCAAAAATAGTTAAGAAACAAACTAACTGATGAACAAGAATATAAGCTAGAGAGAAAGTATTGTATTGCTTTGATATGCGTGAATGTCCCCTCTTACAAGATTATTAGGGCCCTCTTTATATAGTAGAGGAATCCTATTTATGGTATAATTCTAATTACGGAAGTAAATCCCATTATGGGCTAAATAACCGGTCCTGACTTGATACGTGCCGAGATATCTGCCACAATCCTTGCCCCATCGCGGATATCTCGGCTTTCTGTTGTCCGACCTGGCAGCCTTCCTTCGATCTCGTTTGATCTCTTTCCTGTTTCGGTCTTGATCTTGATCGGCCATTGATCCAAGAGATTACCAATCCATATTTGCACCATGGTCTGATATAACCGAGACCGAGCCTTGATCTACCACCCCGATTTTGGCCAGTTATACAAAATTAGGCAAGCCCTATTTTGACCATATACAGATAGTCCCCTCGTTTTTTGGAGTGTAATAACAAGAAACGAATTGAGTCTTTGAGTTTCTTCGCTTGTTCTTCCCGGAATACCAAATATTCCAATCTTTATTCTTCCTTTCTTACGAAAACAAAATGGCCAGAACATCTAAAACTGTTCCGCAAAAGGAATCCGCTCAGGTTCGGGCTAAGGAGCGCACCAAGTGTCGGTCTCGGAGGGAGACCTTTGAAGAAACCCATGCTCGGGGCTTTGTTCTTTCGACCAAGATCAATGGACCCCGAATGACCATTTGAACTAGAGTTTGAGTAGCTCTTAGGCTTAACAATCAAGTGAGGATTTGCTCTAACTCAAAGTAAAGTTAGCCCTTAGGCTTTATAGATAGTCACCGAGTGAGAGTTTGCTCGAACTCGGGTTAAGATGGCCCCTGGCTTTTATGATCGAGTGAGGACTTGCTCAAACTCGAAGTGAAGTTAGCCCTTAGGTTTTATAGTCGAGTGAGGATTTGCTCGAACTCGAATTGAAGTTAGCCCTTAGGCTTTATAGATAGTCCCCGAGTGAGAGTTTGTTCAAACTCGGGTTAAGATAGCCCTTGGGATTTTATGATCGAGTGAGGACTTGCTCGAACTCGAAGTGAAGTTAGCCCTTAGGCTTTATAGTCGAGTGAGGATTTGCTCGAACTCGAAGTAAAGTTAGCCCTTAGGCTTTATAGATTGTCCCCGAGTGAGAGTTTACTCAAACTTGGGTTAAGATAGCCCTTGGAATTTTATGATCGAGTGAGGACTTGCTCGAACGCGAAGTGAAGTTAGCCCTTAGGCTTTATAGATAGTCACCGAGTGAGAGTTTTCTCGAACTTGGGTTAAGATGGCCCCTGGCTTTTATGATCGAGTGAGGACTTGCTCGAACTCGAAGTGAAGTTAGCCCTTAGGCTTTATAGATAGTCCCCGAGTGAGAGTTTTCTCGAACTTGGGTTAAGATAGCCCTTGGGCTTTTGTATTTGTTACGAATTTCGGACGTCTTTGATCCGCGTTAATTTGGCCGTAGCCTCTTTAGTTCGGAACTTGGCTTATTTTCCGTTACACTTCGAGCTTGCCCGAAGTGTCAGTCCCCGAGTGGGGTGGCCGTGACCTGTAAAATCGAGGGTCGCCTTTAAGGTCTTATGGTCTCAAAATTTTAGTAGTTCGATTTCGTTTTGTTTTTAGGACGGCAGTCCTGAAGCATGGGGTTTGTTGTTTTAACTTCCGTCATGGTCGGCCCTTAAGCCTGTTTACACAATAGATCAAGAGTATAAAATAGGAAATTTTTTCTAAAGGCCTGGGAGATCGGCAAGGAAAAAAAATACTTCTCTCAATAGATGATTATATATGCGCGCATGTTTGATGTTAGGGCTCGAGAAACCTATACAGGCACGGTTCATCTGACTGTTTGACCCTTAAAGTATTTTCCCATCGAGACCCCGCTGTCACAATATAATTTCCTTGCAACAAAGCAGACATTCGAGGGTAATTCCCCCCAGTACTTGAGGCTTATTGTAGGGAACCTCGGATACTGTTGAATTGCTCTAAGTTAGCACGAACAATGGTTGCCTCGTTAAAAGCCTCGCCGGAAAAATCCATTTGGGATAAAACCCGGTCTAAGGGAAAAAGAGTGCAACGCGTGCTTTAAGATCCAAAGCTTCGTGCCGATCCTTGTCGATAACCTGCAAGTGTTAGTCGAAAAAATAGAAAGGATGGGGTCGTACCTTTATTCGGATTTTGGATATTTAACGTGATCTTCCTCGACATCAAGCCCCCATCAATTTTGACCTGAATCATTTCTCCTCTCATTTCGTGCGAAGCTTCGTCCAGACCCGCTGCCTCTACAATCTCCATTGTACGGTTGATATCGATCTCTATTCGACCTCGGCTCTCGATTGATGTCCCTTTTGATCCTATCCATGGACCTGCTAGGATAAACGGACCCCAAAAGAGTCCCCAGTTGATCATCCTCGACCCTGATCTTCGACTGATATCGATTATGTATGTCGGCCCAAGTGACAGCAGGGTACTCGATTAAACTTTGCTTCAATTGCTGTGAAGCTATAGAACTCCGAGTTTTGTGACCTTGATTGAAAATATGAATAGCCCAGTCATCGGTGACCGGGGGAAAATCCATTCTCTCCACTTGGAACCGAGATACGAATTCCCTAAGCATCTCGTTATCTTTCTGCCTTACCTTGAAGAGGTCTGACTTCCTCGTTGCAATTTTAATGGCTCCGGCGTGTGCCTTTACAAAAGAATCTGCAAGCATAGCAAACGAATCAATAGAATTAGGGGGTAAGTTATGATACCATATTAAGGCACCCTTCGATAGAGTCTCCCCGAACTTCTTCAGCAGTACGGATTCAATTTTGTCATCTTCCAAGTCGTTTCCTTTGATGACACACGTATACGAGGTGACGTGTTCATTCAGATCTGTCGTCCCGTTATACTTGGGAATCTCAGGCATACGAAACTTCTTGGGGATTGGCTTCGGAGCCGCACTAAGGGGGAAGGGCCTTTGCACGAACTTTCTAGAATCTAGTCCTTCCAATATTGGTGGTGCCCCTAGTATTTGGTCAACTCAGGAGTTGTATGCTTCTACCCTTTTATCATTTGCCTCGATTTTCTTTTCTCACGATTCAATCCATTTGGTGAGGTCCTCGAGCATTTTCATAATAGTAGGGTTAGTCCCCGAATCATTAGCGTTCGATCTCTCCGGTATAGGTTCGGCCCTACGAATAGTTTCTGGTTCAAGCTCTGGTTCAATCCCACTTGGTGCTCGATGCTGATTCTGTAGTTGCGCTATAGCGGCTTGCTGAGCCTATAGCATTTCAAATATCAATCGAAGGCTATATCCACCGTCATCTCCACCCTGCGTACCTTGACCACCTTATCGAACTTCTCTGCGTACGCTACCTTCAGGATCAATGCCCAGATTTGCATTTAAGGGGACATGCGAACTGACATCGACGGGGTCCGCGATTGGTACTCCCTCATGGATCGCCTGAGGCATTTCGATCCATAGGGTAGCTACATTATCGTTTTCTTCATGAAGACCAAGGCCGGTGTCTGTGTGAGTGGGCCCTATTTAAGAGTTTGACATGTTGATTCCTAAAATCAAAGACACGAGAACAAGCGTAAAAGCAGTGTGTGTTATGAGGATTAATACTATACAGTCACTATTATCCTTAGCCCCACCGTGGACACCAAACTGTTTACCCTAAAAATCGGATAACAATTAAAGTTATAATTTGGTTTTAAGGATACATGATTTCACCTAATACCAATTGATAAACGCAAAGATTAACAATATAGATTAACAATAAGATAAAGCAAACCAGTCTTGAAACGTGATTTAACCCTCGAGCTTGAGTGCCCTCGAACTGATCGGTGCCCAAAATAGTTAAGAAACAAACTAACTGATGAACAAGAATATAAGCTAGAGAGAAAGTATTGTATTGCTTTGATACGCGTGAATGTCCCCCTCTTACAAGATGATTAGGGCCCTCTTTATATAGTAGAGGAATCCTATTTATGGTATAATTCTAATTACGAAAGTAAATCCCGTTATGGGCTAAATAACCGGTCCTGACTTGATATGTGCCGAGATATCCGCCACGATCTTTGCCCGATCGCAGATATCTCGGCTTTCTATTGTCCGACCAGGCAGGCTTCCTTCGATCTCGTTCAATCTCTTTCCTGTTTCGGTCTCGATCTTGATCGGCCATTGATTCACGAGATTACCAATCCATATTTGCACCATGATCCGATATAACCGAGACCGAGCCTTGATCTACCATCCCGATTTTGGCGGCAAGCCCGATTTTGACCATATACAGTTTCCTTTTCTTGGAATAAATAGTACTATTCATGTATATAAGTAATCTAAAATCTTATTTATTTTGTTCCATTTGAAAAAAGAAAATTTTAAGAAAATTTTTACTACTAGAAGACTTTTCCAAAAATTGGGGGAAGATATTTAATTCAACCCCAAAAGAAACGGAAGTCTTCAATGGCCAATGACTAACGTAGAATTCAAAAAGAATCAGCTATTCCAAAAAAAAAAAAAATCTTCTTCAGGTTGGTCAAAAAACGATTGAAAAAGAAATGCAAAATCCTTTAAAAAATTAAATTAAATTATTATTTCCAAAAAATTCCTTTTTTTGGTCACTTCTATTACCAACCTCATAACTTTCAACTTTGATCTTTACGTTTTCCAAAGTTTGATCAGTTTATGAATTAATTGCCTAAAAAAACATCATCATTTTACAACATGATGGGGTTGGTTTTTTTCTAGCCTTATCTTGATTTTTCCAACTTTTGGATACGTTACATTTTGATGATATTTTTATACCTTTTATATTTCAACGTTAATTTCAGCAAGTCAATTTGGCTGAAGGTGGTATCTTGATCTGATCAAAAAAGGATTTTTGCTGAATTTTTATTGGGTTTTTATCCTAAGAAACCTAATAGAAATTCAGCATTTCTCTTGTTGAAAACAAAGGTACAAACCCCATTTTGTAAAAGCTCAAAGTTTGCAATATTCTTAGCTATGTGTTCATTTCATGATCTATATATATAGATTGATATTATGGAGCTTCATATGATGCAAGTTTCTTCCATTTTTTCCTTGCATGGTATTATTTGGTCTATATATCGGAACTGATAATATTTGAGATTATGTAAGATTATACAGTTACGATACATATTCGAGATTATGCAAGATTATACATAAGAGATTCTTTTTTGGCTCTCTTTAGCCCTATGTTACATGCTTTAATGTTCAATTAGATTGATAATTTGATATCATGTTTGATAAACTGATTTTAATCGCTTTGGAAAACTTATATTTTGATCAAAATATTTGACTTTTTAGAAATTCATCTTTACTATTCCAATTAGTGGAGCATTGATTAAGTAAAACATTTAAGGAGAGATATAATGTAATTTAGGTAAATATTCTTATGATTAAGGCTATTAATTTGTCAGGTTCATGCAAGAACTTTAAAAGACATATAATATTGATCGGACTAAGTAACAGTTATGGGGAGAAAACACAATACTTTTTCTCCTTGTGATCTATAGGTCACGAGTTCGAACCGTGGAAGCAGCCACTAATGCTTGCATTAGGGTATGCTGTCTACATTACACCCCTTGTGATGCAACCCTTCTCAAGACCCGTCGCGAATACGGAATGCTTTGTGCATCGGGCTGCCCTTTTTTTCTTCGATGTTCAATTCTTTCATGCTGTGCAACTTAAGATTTCTATTGCATATTTTCATATTCTTTCTCTTAAAATTTGTGTTGTTTTTTCTATTGTAGGTCCTTATTTTGTTGAAGTTTTTGTAACTCATAAAGATAAATGGATCAATTCAGGCAGATTGGTGAGGTAGTAGGGAGTTTAAAGGCTCTAATGGTGTTGAAACATGATATTCAAATCAATCAGAAGCAATGTTGTTTCCTATTAGATATGTATATTGAGGCTTTTGATACAATTTATGAGGAAATCAAACATAATTTAAGGTTAAATGAGAGGAATACAAAGTGGAAAGCTCTTGAGCAACCAATGAAAGAGCTACATAGGATCTTTAAAGAAGGCGAATCGTATATAAAATATTGTTTGGATGTGAAAGATTGGTGGGGAAAAGCGATAAGTCTTCATATGAACAAAGATTGTGTTGAGTTTCATATTCATAACTTGCTTTGTTGTTTTCCTGTTGTTATTGAGGCGATTGAGACGGCTGCAGAAATCTCAGGATTCGACGAGGAGGAAATGCAGAAGAGGAGATCTGCAGTTATGAAGAAATATGATAGGGAATTGATCGATCCGAGGTTTTTCCAGTGGATGTATGGGAAACAGTATTTAGTTACGCGAGAAATATGTAGCCGGTTGGAGAGTTCTTGGAAAGAAGATAGATGGTTGCTTGTTGAAAACATAGGGCAAAAGAAAAATGCAGTTGCACCAGATACTTTGTTAAAGCACGAGCAAAGGATCGCGGAATTCTTGCTAAGGAAATTAGATGGTGTTGAACAAAGTAACAAGATGTTGTTACCTAGTTCAATCTTAGTTGGATCGAACGATTATCATGTGAAGAGACGTTTAGGGTCGTGGGGTGGACATGTTAAGGAGATACAATGGTTAGGCGAAAATTTTGCTCTGAGGAACTTTTTTGGTGATGTTGAACCGTTGCATGCTGAAATTTCTTTAGTGTTTTCGCTTTCACATCCAAACATATTGCAATATCATTGTGGTTTTTATGATGAAGAAAGGAAAGAAGGGTACCTTGTTATGGAGCTGATGAACGATACTCTTGCGACGTATATAAAGGAGCATTCTGGTCTGAGGAAAAGACCGCCATTTTCTACGTCTGCAGCAGTTGATATTATGCTTCAGATTGCACGAGGGATGGAGTATTTGCACGCGAGAAAGATCTATCACGGAGAATTGAACCCGTCTCATGTCCTTCTTAAAGCAAGGAATTCCTCAGCAGAGAGCTATTTTCACGCGAAACTCAAAGGCTTTGGCTTAACTTCGATTAAAAGTACTTACAAGACTGTCAACCACAACGCGGCTGACTCCATTATATGGTATGCCCCGGAAGTTCTAGCTGAACATGAAAAGCCGGGAACCAAATGCACATCCAAGTATACGGAGAAAGCTGATGTCTATAGCTTCGGAATGATATGTTTCCAAATCTTAACGGGGAAAGTTCCATTCGATGAAGGACATTTGCAAGGCGAGAAAGTGGTGCGAAATATCAGAGCAGGGGAAAGGCCTCTCTTTCCATATCCTTCACCTAAATACCTTGTAAACTTAACCAGAAGATGCTGGCATACGAACCCAAATCTTCGCCCACGTTTCTCTTCTCTGTGCAGGATCTTGCATTACATCAAGAAAGTTCTTGTCATAAATCCGGAACATGGCCAGCCTGAAACTGCCCCTCCACTTGTCGACTATTGTGATATCGAGGGTGGCTACTCGAAGAAATTTCCTGAAGAGGAGAGCACGAGTTTGACCCCGGTATCACAGATTCCTTTTCAGATGTTTGCTTACCGGCTGATTGAAAAAGAGAAAATTTCTGGAAAGAACTGGGATTCATCAAATGAGAGTTTTTCAGTCCATAGGCGAGCATCGATGCTGAGTGATGACGGACATCTGGCTGCGATGGATGATCTCTTTCTTGCACCAAGCGATGGAAGGTCAGTTTGCTCAGAGATCATTGACAGGAAAGATTCAAGATTGTTTGATCAGAGATCAGCTATCTCAGAAATACCACATAGAAAGCTTTTCTTATTCGATCAAGCATCAGTTGGCTCTGAGAGTCCGGACAGGAGATTCTTGTCTGTAGCAGCAGACGAAAAGTTTTTCTTTGCTGATAGTCCAGATAGGAAAGTACTATCAACACCAGTAGTTGATAGGTCACCACGTATCGACACACTGGAGAAAAAGATCATCTCATCAATGAGCAAGAACCAAAGACTGAAATTTTCGGACAACCAGGAGAAGGTAATGTCTCCAAAAGCAGGCGACGAAAAATCTAAAGCAAATGTTGCAGCTGAACAAAATTTAGTATCTCCTCGGACTTCAGAGAAGATTAAATCAGCCGAGCAAAATTTAGTATCTCCTCGGACTACAGAGAAGATGATATCAGCTGAGCAAAATTTAGTATCTCCTCGGACTTCAGATAAGAAAATTTCATCTGATGATCAGAAACTGACTAATTACGAGACTCAAGAAAAGAAACATGCATCAGACGATCAGAAACTAATCAGTTCCGGAGCTCCTGAGAAGAAACATTCATCTGATGATAGGAAATTACTACATTCCAAGACTCCAGAAAGGATTAAGTCGTCAACTGTCGATGACAAGTCACTTCATGGCGAGCACGCGCAAAGGAAAAGTGTAAGGACTAGGAGAACAAACGAAAAGTTATCGAAGATTATAGAGAAGAAAGTTCCAGAAACTAATCAAATTTCAATGTCATCCGAGAATACTGAGACAACTGCATCCAAGACCAGCAATCAAAAGATAACATCGAAGAAAGATCCGTTGCGCAACAAACTGCAGGATACAAAGACTAGCTCTCTAACAGGTAAGCTATTCTACTACCCCCACCCCCACCCCACAAACCCCCTCCCCCCAAAAAAATGCTCCCTCCGTCCCAATTTTGTTAATGCCTTCTTTTCTTTCTTAAACTCCCTGCCGAGTCAAACACCACCACATAAATTGGGACGGAAGGAGTAGATGTTTTTTTCCTAAGTCGATTAGTTAGTGTTTGAGGATTTCCAAACATGAGTATGATTTTGAATGATTTGTGCAGAGAAACTGAATGATGACTCACCAAGATCTTCACCAGCTAGAGCTAAGAGAATACATTCATCACCGATGTCTTCACCAACACGAACACCAAAGACATCTTCAAGATCATCACCAACAATCGCCACAAAGGGATATGTATATCAATCTCCAAGTTCGTCGCCATTAAATCCATGTTCTCGATGTGCTAGAGTAAATCGAGAGTGCCAACCTTCAGGTATGAGCCCACATATACAACGGAAAGCTCATCCGTCTCATTCAGAGATCGCGTAGCTCTTCATCTGTCACTTAATGCATATACAGCAGTATTTGCACTGAATAGATTCATACAATGTACTCACTCAAGGCTAAGATTTCTTTAGTCCCAGGTTAGAGCTACAAAACCTCCCCGGCTTTTCATGGGGGCCTTTGTAACAAGAGAAATATGCACTATTACTATATATACAGTTTTCCACCTTACTCGTTAGTTAAACAATTTCGTATTTAAACATATTGAAGCAAAGGATGAACGGAGTGTGATTCTTCTACGCGACTATTGAACTCTTTGCTTCTAAGACGACAAATGTCACATTATCTACTTTCATTTCCTGACCACGAGAGGATGCCAGAATTTCACGAAGCCAGGAAATTTAATAAGGGTGTTCAAATTTTGAATAACCTTTGTCAGTGTGCTATGCAAGGGCGTTCAAGTCTATTTTTTTTTTTAATAAAAAACAAGTAATATTTTGCCCTATATACGACATAATTTTTCGGCGAAGGGTCTTTAAGTTAACCACCCTTGGCCACACATAGCTGTATATACCTGGGTGTACAAATGATCATTTCACATACAGAAGAAAAAAGAAACAACGTAACTACTACATTATGTCAACTGCAATTTCATTGAATCTTCACTAAACTCCTCTACACCCTGAGCCTTCTCCTAAAAATCTGGACTCTATGCGCATGCGTCCTTTTCAAGAAAAGAATTTATAACATGGTGTTTAATTAGGTCAACTTGTATGCATCTCGACTATTTCATCAAAATATGCTACCTTCCACGAACACAGATATAGTAACTCTTCTCGCCAAAGTTTAGGCAGTTTCGAAAGCAATCACCTAGCTTTTTTGTCCCTAATGAGATTTGAACCTTGATCTACGTACATTCACTCGCTTCATTAATCACAAGGCCACACCTATGAATACGTGGACGAGTCCATTTTAAGGCGTCATTGCTGCAACATTATCTATTCATGGATTTGTTCGTGGCACTTTAAAAAAAAAAAAATAGCATGGATTTGAACAGGTAAAACAAAAAAATTTAAAAAGGAAAAAAAGAACTGATAAAACGAACGGATCAATTGAACAAGTGCATTGTAAAGAGTCTTAATGTGATAAGTCGCCTTATTTGAAAAAAATTCTTTTTACAAGTCACCTTAATTAATTTAATTCAAAGCTCCTAAGGCTTTGGTCTAGTGGGTGAGAGGCCAGTGTAAATTAGGCTCACATCACATATTCGAACCCGACCGCAGACGAAAACCTTGTATTTAAGTGGAGAAGGATAGAGGGGCGTGCTCATTATCAACCAAGTTTTGAATCGTGCACCACTTGCCAGTGTGTGATTTTATGCTAAAATGCCAAGTGCTAGCGTGCTGAGTAAAGAATTTTTAAATACCGACTACAAGTAACCGTTAATGTTAAGCATATATTAATAATTTGAAAATGCATGGCCTTTTCTCCGTTAGGCTCCTGTAAGGGCCGATCAAGCTGACAAGTCCGGGATACATAATGAATTTTCGGCGATTGGCAGCCGTACCCTATATTTATGCCACCTTTTAACCTATACCCTATTTTTAAAAACTATTGATTTCGTAACCAACTAACAAATAATTCGTAATAATATGACCATTATACTCCTTCCAAAACATATAAAAGATGCATCAAGCATACCCAGATTCAAATTCCAGAGCCGTATCTCCTCCATCACTCCGTCTCTCCTGAGATCACGTATCGCAAACCAGATTTGAACCAGATTCAAATTCCAAATTCAAAATTACAAAATACATTGTAAGTATTCAAATTCATCTAATTTTGACTGATTGAAGTTGTTTGACGAACTTCACTGATATGTGAATCTGTTTGACGTTCAATTCTAACATTCTAATCCTACAAATATGCTAATTTTTGGTTTATTTGCTAAACAAGCTGAAGTTATTTAGTTCATATCTAAAAAATTCAGCAAAACGAGTTATATGAGTGTTATCATTGTTTATTTGCTAAACAAGCTGAAGTTATTTAGTTCATATTTAAAAAATTCAGCAAACGAGCTGAAGTTTTCCTCCTACACTGGTTAAATATTAAATATAAATTAAAATTTCATATTGCAAAAAAACTTAAGCATTAGTTGCTGAAGATTTTTATGTAATCTTTAAAAACTTCAGCAATATGACCTGAAGTTTTCCTCCTAGACTGGGTAAAAAAAACATAAATTAAGATTACAAATTGCACGAAAAACTTCAGCATAGGTGCTGAAGTTTTTTAGTTAATATTTAAAAACTTCAGCAGGAAGAGCTGAAGTTTTCCTATTACACTGGGTAAAAAAAAATAAAACATAAATTAAAATTATATATTGCACAAAAAACTTCAGCATAGGTGCTGAAGTTTTTCAATTAATCTTTAAATACTTAAGCAAGAAGAGCTGAAGTTAATCATTTCCTCTGCTATTTTTCGATTTTGAATAGAATTAATATTTAAAAAAACGCACAAAAAACTTATAACAAAAACTGAATATTTCATTAAACATTAAAAAGGATAAATTAAATTACATAAATAACAAAATAACATAAATAAAAAAAGAAAAACTAATCTTCATCATCATCATCGTCGTCGTCACTACTAGATGGACGAGCATCTTCATCAGCAAGATTGTCAAATCTTGCATACATCACAAGCGTATCAAGCTTGTTGTTGATTTCTTCCAGCTCCCTATCGTACTTGTCTACGAGCTCATCCAGTTTCACCTCCAAGGCCTCTATAATGTCTTGCTTGATTTCTTCCACTATTTGCCTGATGATAGCATCCATTTTTCTCCGTTTTGTATTTTATGTCTGCTAAAATATATGTGTTTGAGTGAATAAACTCACAAAGTATAGCGTGCTTTTATAGGGAAAAAAAACTTCTGCATGGTATATGAAAAGGCAAAGAGAAATTTTAAACGTTGTCTAAAGAAAAGCGTGCATGAATGTGATAGGAATGTAATTATTACACTAACACATACACCCAACACAATATAATTACTACTTTAATTGTGTTTGTTATGTTTACTCCTGTATACTATGCAATTAATGCTGAAACATGCTCAAGTTTGTTGAATTCATTTTCTAAAACTTCAGCCCAATGTGCTGTAGTTATTTAGTTCTATTTCTAAAAACTTCTACACTTGATAAGCTGAAGTTTTTTTCCTGCACTCGATAGTTTTTATCCTAAAGCTTTTTCAAATAACTTCAGCTCAATGTGCTGAAGTTATTTAGTTCATTTCTAAAAACTTCAGCACTTGATAAGCTGAAGTTTTTCTCCTGGACTCGATAGTTTTTGTCCTAAAGCTTTTTCAAATAACTTCAGCTCAATGTGCTGAAATTTTTTAGTTCATTTCTAAAAACTTCAGCACTTGATAAGCTGAAGTTTTTGTCCTGGACTCGATAGTATTTGTCGTAAAGCTTTTTCAAATAACTTACGCAGAAATTGCTGAAGTTATTTAGTGTATTTAGTGATGAGCTGAAATTTTTGTCCTACATTTGACACTTTTGTTATGATTTTTAACCAAAACTACAGTCTGCAGGATGAATCCGATTTGCGTTGTTATAAATTTCAATGGGAGGTGGACTCCTGATTTCAAATACTTGGATCATGATATCAAACTTGTTCTACTTAATAAGCACATATCATTCTATACTTTCCTGAAGAAAATTAGTGAAGTTGCAAATATTGATTCAACCAGATATGTACTAAAAGTATGGTTTGATATCAAACTAAATACAAGCAAAGGAATGCTTGTAACTTCAGATGAAGAACTCACCTTCAAACATCAGAATCTGAATCTAATGAGGACCTTGATGATTCTGAAGGGTCTGACTCACTGTTTGATATAGATGAGAACATTGAAGAGTGTAGTGATTTGGAAGATGATTTAGTTGAAATTAGACAGTCTAAACTCAACAAAAAGAAGGATGCCCAAGTAAATGTAGATGAGATACCATCTGGTCCAGTTGGTGTAGATGATGGTTTGAAGATATGCGTAAGAACAAAAGGGGAAAATATGAAGGGAACTAGGAGGGATGACCAGTATTTGATAGCTCAGATCCAGGTAGTGAGTGTAGTGATGATGACAGAGAACCTGTGGCCTGATGAAGTAGGATGCTCAGCTAGGATCCAAGTAGAAGNAGCACTTGATAAGCTGAAGTTTTTGTCCTGGACTCGATAATTTTTGTCCTAAAGCTTTTTCAAATAACTTCAGCTCAATGTGCTGAAGTTTTTTAGTTCATTTCTAAAAACTTCAGCACTTGATAAGCTGAAGTTTTTGTCCTGGACTCGATAGTTTTTGTCCTAAAGCTTTTTCAAATAACTTCAGCTCAATGTGCTGAAGTTTTTTAGTTCATTTCTAAAAACTTCAGCACTTGATAAGCTGAAGTTTTTGTCCTGGACTCGATAGTATTTGTCGTAAAGCTTTTTCAAATAACTTACGCAGAAACTGCTGAAGTTATTTAGTGTATTTAGTGATGAGCTGAAATTTTTGTCCTACATTTGACACTTTTGTTATGATTTTTAACCAAAACTACAGTCTGCAGGATGAATCCGATTTGCGTTGTTATAAATTTCAATGGGAGGTGGACTCCTGATTTCAAATACTTGGATCATGATATCAAACTTGTTCTACTTAATAAGCACATATCATTCTATACTTTCCTGAAGAAAATTAGTGAAGTTGCAAATATTGATTCAACCAGATATGTACTAAAAGTATGGTTTGATATCAAACTAAATACAAGCAAAGGAATGCTTGTAACTTCAGATGAAGAACTCAGTACCTGTATACATTTGCTTACAACTGATTCAGCCTACACGAATATTTCGTCATCGAAAAAAGACAACCTTCAGAATATGCAGCATTCAAACAATCTCTTGCATATGCGATAGATTCAGAACCTTTTGGTGATTATCAACATGAAGTAGGACAGCCAATAATGGAAGTAGACAACGAGCAACAACCTTCTAACATTATAGCTGCTTCAGAATATATAATGCCGCAACAATTACCCCCTCCTCCAATAAATTCATACCAGTTTGTCGATGACCAAGAAGAAGAAGGACAACTAATAATGCAAATTGACAACCAACACACAATCCAAGAAAGTTTTTTGTTACCTTCTGCAATGTGTGAGCACGTGATTTTTGCCCTAAGCAATAATTCCTAAAATTTAAAAAAAAAAAAACAAACAATTTCTTTAGTATT